GGGGCATACTACATGGCGCTGCTCAATGACGACCATGCTCTTAACAGATGTTCAAATTTTGGATCCATTTTTACGCTTTTGCTTCTTTTTACATGTTAAATATTAATGAGAGTAATATATTTTTTAAATTTTCATGTATAACCTTCACGAGTATTTATGGTCCTGTACAGCCAAGAAAAGTGTCCCTCTGGGATAATAGAGAATTATCTTATCTTATCTTATTTTGTCTTATCCTTTATCTCATCTTATTTTATCTTATTTTTTAGGAGTCCTCGTGACGCTGATCTAAAGAACTGCAGCAGCCTACTACTGAGTCTGTGTGTCAGGATTGCTCCTGAACATCTCACCTCTCTCTGCCTCCACCTGCTCCAGTTGGTGCCGCGACTCCACCGCTTTATCCGTAAGATATGTCACTTTCTCATTCGCCGCAGCTGAGGAAGACAACGTATTTAAAAAAAATAGGATAAGTCTAATTGTTTTACGCATACGGCGCCGCAACTGCATAAGGTCATATGAGCGCGCGGGACACATTAAACATTTTCAGTAGGCAGGAATTGTTTTTGCTCGGGTGGCGACCGAAGCCTACTCTTATCGATTTTAGACCACAAAGGGATCTTTAATGTGCGCAACTTGCACACGGGACCTCCGAGATTTTTCGCCCTTGTCCGAGAAGGCTAGGTGTAGATCTTTCCTACCAGAAGATCAGGGGTGTGGTTGAAAGACAGCAGTAAAAAGGAGCCAAGGAGTACAGTACAAAGGCTGCAGAAAGAGCCAAGAGCCCAGAGGAGAGGGCAAAGGAGCTGAGAGGGTGCGGCAGAAAGTGGAGACGAAAGCAGACGACAGAACACTGCTTGAGAGCAAGAAAGGAGGTGAAAGGAGACAACGTATACCACAATTTTTACATATTTATTTATTCATCTTTTTTGTTGGTAAGTGTATAAGGATTGTATGGATCTTTACCCCTGGTCATGCAGGAGTTCAAGTCAATGGACGTGCTGATAAGCTGGCCGGCCAGGCTGAGATTGGCGGCACCATGCAATTAGATCCACCAACAGTCATGGCAACATTGACAGCATGGGTCAACGACCACAGAGAAGTTAAAGGCACCACATCACACACAATTGAAAGACGAAGGGAAGTTGGTGTCTCTAGAAGGTCGGGGAGAGACAGCAACCTGCGTGGAAAAGCCAGAATATCCAACCAGCCGAAAACGGGCACGATCAGCAAGCAGACCCTTTCATGGATCCTGGAGAGGAGGGAGGAGCAGCTATGGCATTGTGCCGCCTGCAATGATGCCTAATCTCCAACCAAGTAAGTTGGTAAGTGTGTTTCGGTGCTCACAACTGCATATAAGGTCATATTATGATGAGCTCGCGAGACACATTAATTAAGCATGTTCAATTTGGTAGGAATTCAATAATTTTGAAATTTGCTAGGATGGTGGCCAAAGCTTACTTTTATCGATTATAGAACCACCAAGGGATCCTTAACGTGCGCAACGTAAACACGGGACCTTCGAGTTTTTTTTCCCGTCTTTATCAGAGACGGCTAATCGTTAGATCTTACCTACCCTGAGATCAGGGGTGTGGCTGAAAGATAGCTGTAAGAAGGAGCCAAGGTGTAGTATCAGAAAGGCAGAAGAAAGAGTGGGAAGCCCAGAGGAGGGGGAAGGGGGGAGGGGGGAGGGGGGAGCAGAAAGTGGAGACGAAAGCATACAACAGAACATGATTAAAGAGCATGAAAGCACAAAAGGGAAAACTCATTTAGAGAAGAAAATCGTTCCGTCGCTGCCAGGTTTCGAACCCGGGACCTATTGAATGGGAAGCGAACAACGCACCTCTAGTCCACGAGAACCCCTATATCACAAACTTGCAAACGGTCATATGAACGCCAAGTGGTGGAGGTCAACCAGTAAGGTTGTACAGTTTTGTAATATCCTTGATGTCAACAGAGAAGCCCAAACGGGGAATCAGGCTTACTCTGCTCACCTCTCTAGCCTCAACAGCGCAAAGCCTGCTTCGCCTATCAAGGCATCCCGGAAATAGCAGTTCACAAGAGAGTGACACACATACAAAAGAAGTAGAGGAAAAATGACGATAGTAAAGACGAGGAAAGAGGAAGCAGCAGTTCCAATTACATTTGATTTCTGTTTCAGTGAAATTGACGAGCAGTCCAAAGTACCAAATGTCTTTGTAAAAATAAAATATTTGTTGAATCTTGAAGGCGTAAGTCAATGATCTTGTTCCGTAGTTCAATTTGATTTCACAGTTTCAGTGAAATAGATAAGTATTAAAAAATAACAAAAGTCTTTTGTAAAAAAGAAAAAAAAAGAAAGTAAAACAATCATTGTTGATACAGTTGAACCTTGAAAATCAGATAAACAGATTTTACGTTTATAATGCCAACGTAACATAACGAAACAAAAAAGTGACATTTTATATTTTCTTATTCATGAAAAAAGCCTCAAAAGGAAAAGAAAGCTGCTAACAAAGGACATTAAAAAAAAAATGCCATGGCACACTCTGTAATTTGAATGAAACAGCACGCTGTTTTGTGGGTGCGCATATTATGAGTGTGTGTGTGTGTGTGTGTGTGTGTGTGTGTGTGTGTGTGTGTGTGTGTGTGTGTGTATGTGTGTGTGTGTGTGTGTTTGTGTATGTAGGTAGGTAGGTAGGTAGGTAGGTAGGTAGGG